TGTTGCCTTCATTGTCTTTTTCTAGGATCTTGTTTAGAATTCCTTGTAGTGCTGGTTTGGTATTCATGTAGTTTCTCAGGTGTTCTTTGTTGTGGAAGTGTCTTATTTCCCCCTCCATTTTGAAAGAGAGTTTTGCAGGATGCATCAGTCTAGGTTGGAGTTTGTTCTCTTTTAGTACTTGAAATATCTACTCCAGGCTCTCCTTGCCCCAAGGGTTTGTGTTGAAAAGTCTGCTGTGATTCTGATGGGCTTTCCTTTGTATGTGATTTGTTTCTTTTCTCTTACTGCTTATAGTATTTTGTTCTTCTGTTGGGTTTCTGGGATCTTGATTATTATATGTCTAGTTGTAGATTTTTTTTGATTGCAGCTAGTTGGGGTCCTGTATGCCTCAGTTATCTGAATGTCAAATTCTTCCCCTCTGTTTGGGAAGTTTTCTGTCATTAATTCTGTGAACAGCTTTTTAAAGTCATTTGTATTTTCTCCTGCTACTTCATGTATTCCTATGAGTCTTATGTTATTCTTCTTTGCATCATCTAGGAGGTTTTGGATTGATTTCTCATGATCCCTTTCTGTTTTTAAGAGACCTCTCTTTTCATGGTCACTGACTGCAATCTTATCTTCTACATCTAAGAGTATATCTTCACATTCTTTCATTCTATTGTGTACACTTTTTATGGAGTGTTTAATCTCCTGCATATCTGTTTGAATCTGTTTTAGGGATTCCATTTCTTTCCTATGTTGGGCATTTATTTTTTCCATTTCTTTCTTATGCTGGGCCTTCGTGGCTTCCATCGTAGTCCTGAGCTCATCTATTTTTTTGTCAGCTTCTGCTCTAGAGTCTCGAATAGCGACTTCCACTTTGCTCACTATCTCTATGGTTATCTGGGAAATTATTTCAGTTTTGAATTTTTCTAGAGCCTGATTGATCTGTTTTGTTACTTCCTGTGCTTTGAGTTTAGGGTGTCCTGGTGGTTCACTATCTACCTTTTCGTCCTCTTTTGCCCTACTGTTTGCCATTGGTGAACTGGAAGTCTGTCTTTGTGTCTTGCTTAAGTGTTTTCTCATTTTTATTTTTGTTGTCGGACTGTCCTTGGTTTAATCTCTGGATTATCAGCCAAATCTTCCTGATATAGTTGCGCCCTAGCTTCTGTGTCTCTAACGACCCACAGACATTCTCATCTTCATAACATCAGAGAAACAGCTTATCAAATCATCCGCAATGCTTTATCCCAACTGATACAATCAGCAACACATTAAGATCAAGCACAGCTTGGACACTGACCACCTGTGGTAGTCACTAGTCTATCAACCTTAAATCATTTGAATTAAAATGAAATCAAGAGGCAGTCCAGAACATGTCTGCAGTGAACAAAATTTCAATATAGGTGTATTTACCATTTAATGGCTCAGACCGAGCGAGGATGCAAGTCCCCTGGTCTCAGTTAGCTGATGGCTGAACCCCATGATGCTGACTGACCTTGGGCTGCAAGGCCCAGATTGAGTTCCCCAGCCTTCTGAA